TTAAAATGAAAATGTTTACACATGGGTAAGTGCATGCTTGTAAAGTACGATCCATGTCTGTTTCTAGGCAAGTACTTATGCATATTCGTATATGAGTATGAAAGGCACGTTTATATGATTGTATGTACAGACGTATGAATGCCAGTCTGTATTGCCTGATTTTTTTTATGTCTGAATGTGTGTATGTTTTTTTCTTGAAAGTTTGAAGTGAACACAAGTTGGTTTGTGGGTTTACATGTGGTTGTATTTTAAAGGTCAGCAGAAATATTAAGTAAAAGCTTTGCATGTGTGTAAGCAAAACTTTTCGTGTAATTGATTGCAGCTTTAAAAGTAAGTAAGCAAGTATGTAAAACTTATGTATAGATGGTAGTTATTTTGCATTCTTCTTAAGTATAAGACTGTATGTTGTTTTCATACTTTTATGTAAGACTTAATTTTTGAATGTTTGTATGTATGGAAATATTTTTGCATATATGTATGTAATTTTGTGTGTATGGTTGTATGGATGTCTCTAAGTAACTTTATTTTTGTATGTATATATGTAAGTACGTATGTATGTATCTATATGCATGTATGTATGTATATATGTGTTTATGTAAGTTTGTGCTTATGTATACATGTATGTATGTTTGTATTCAGTATGTGTGTATGTAATTGTTTTTGTATGTAAGTTTGTATGAATAACCTTAAGTAAGTTTTTAAATGTGTCTGAATAAACGTATGTCTGTAATAAATTACGTATCACTATATTTTGTAAGAAAGCATTTAAGTTTGCAACTTATGAAAATGTATTTATGTTTTTATGTTTATACAAGTATGCAGCTTTATATGTTTAGTGGGGTATGTATGTTTGAGTATAGTTGAAATCGTTTATTTTATTTTATATAAAAGTTTATGTGTAACTCAATCCAAATCTTTCTTATCTTTCTTCTTAAGTTTCTCGAACATTCCAGAATAATCAACCAGATACTATAATGCTAGTTTTTTTTCATTTTCTTGATTTGCGAAACAATTTGATAAATTAAAAAAAAAATTTATTCCTCGAAATATTTGATCTTCCAGGTATCCTCATTATGAACAATTCAATTTGAAAAATTGGCATATGCAGCATTGATTCTAATTTCAATTTATCTGCAGTCAATGATTATGAAAAATGTTTTAAAATTGTAACAGGAAAGATCAGTTTTCAAATTTTTACAAAAAATTGTCGATGGAAGCAGCAAGCAACAAGTCCAATTGGAGACAGCATGGAGTCCAGACTGTTTGATGAACTGTTGCTCATTGAGATAAAGATTACGATAACCAAATTATCAGAAAAAAATGATGATTTATTGAGGAAAATCATTGACCGCGCAGACGAACACGATCGATAGAAGAATGGTAGAAAATGACATGCGGCTGGTAGAGCTGAAGACGGTAAGCGAGCAAAGTTTAAATGACAGGTACTGTATATTTGAAGGATGATTGATCAATCTCTAAAAATCACAAATTTTCAATGGTTTTCATTTGATAAATCATAATAATGAATCAAACTTATAAACCCACAGAAGTGAAGCAATTGTGTAATCAGATAAACAGTCAGTACCACTTTTTTAAATTCAAGATTTATTTAGTCGATAGAGCGTTTTATGAAATAGCTCAAATTGCTTACGCCTTTTGTCTTTGAAATAAATTGCAAGTCTTTCTGCATTGAGGCTCAAAATTTTAATTACTCAAAGTGAAACTGTCTAACAAACTTTTTATTGGCAAATTAAAGTTGTCTTTGTTAGTCGTTTCAGCTTAAGATAACACAACATAATTGACGTTTATCGAAATGCATTGAAACTACAAAATGGCACTTACAACATTTCGGAAACTGCTGTAGCCAAATTGGTGTGAAAGCATTGCTTAGTGTGAAACAGCTATCATCCTGACGGAATCTGAAGATTCAGGTAGAGCGTTGATGATGAGGCTTGATTTTTTATCTTACAATTTCAAACAACTAACCGTTTTTCGAAGACATGTTTTGTTAATAGAAAAGACCAAAATTGATGCAAAAATGAGAAGAAATATCATGATGCGAACTGTTTTGATCCTGCTAGTGATCAGAACGTGAATGTGAAAGCTTGGATCACCTCAAACATATATTGAAAGAAAGGTTGAACTCTTGATAACACAATTAGTTGTTGGCGAATAATCGAATGTTTTGGTCGAAAAGCCCCCGTATTTTGAGAGGCAATAGCGTAATCATGGAAACATTCAAAAGATCAGATTTATACTAGAAAAACTCAAAATTTGTTTTGTTGAGCAGGGGGTTAATCCATGATCATAACTGATAGCGCTTCAAACTTTTGTATAGAAAGCTCTAGCTTAAACCAACTTGAACTTAATTAGAAGATACTGAGAACATTTGACCAGATTGTAGTATCAAATTAAAAAGTTATTTAATTGCATATTCTTTTAATGGAAAAATCAAAATATTTGGATGCTCAAATTATAACTCCGAATTCATATCAAGTTTTGAGTTTGTATCCATAACTTATCTTAGTTTGTGTTCAGTCTTTCCCGATTGAATTTGCTCTAATTTGAATAACTGCTTTCCTTAAACGTCGCAAATAAGTTTTCACCTGCTTTATTCGATGGTCACTCTGTTCTGTCGTATATATTGGCACACAAATAACAATTTTCCCCCAGTTTCTAGGTCCGCTTTGATGAATATTTTCAAAAATTCTGTTAGCACAATAAAGTTGAAAAGAAGTACTAAACGTTTTCAAGAAGTACTAAACGTTTTCTATTATAAAAAATGGTATATGCAAGTCTTAGAAATGGCTGCAGCAAAATTTAGTGTTCATCAGTGTTCTCGTTTTTCAAGATCTTTAGCCACTTCAACTTATTAGCTCTTTCAACCTTTCTATAAAATCAAAGTTTTTGTCATAGATTTCAGACGTTTTTTCAGTCTCCTGCAGACACGGAAAATGAAAATGTCGAAATTTTCAAGCCAATTTCATTATTTTGTAGTTTTCAGTGTTTCGTAATTTTTCTTTGTTTTTCACCTTCATTTAGCTTAAAGTAATTTTTCATTTTTATTTCGATCAAATTGATCATTTATTTTTGCCTAAATAGAGGTGGCGGCCGCCGCACTTGACAAATTTCCCTTTCTTCGAGATTCAGCAATAAAACATGCATTTTTGAAGGAAATCGTTCACCGCAGCCAACAGTTAAGCTACGCTGCCAAAATCTTGTGCTTTCCTATATATCATATAATTTGGTTGCTTATAATATGTAAAATTATAATTTTACATGTAAACAAGCCAATACCCCCAAACTTTAGAAGGGAAAACATGCATCAACCAAAACTTAATTCAATTCCCGTTTCCATAAAGTGGCTGGAAAATTACCAATTTTAACCCCCCTTAAAACATGCGTGCCCGAAAAAGTAGGGGTTTTAACCCCTTTGGGGGTTAAAAGTGGTAAGTACAACGGCACACCGAAAAAAGGGGGGGTTAAAAGTGGTCATTTTCCTAGCCACTTTTACTATACTACTGACACTTATATAGGTCGCGTTGAAAACTTCCCAAATTGCATAAAAGCAGAACTTTTCCCAATTGGCATAAGTTTCAAGTTTTGCATGACACTCAAATGCTTTCTCATATTTCTCCTTTCTAAGGAACGAAAAGATGTGTGAACATGGTTTGAATTTATTGCTTCCAAAAAAATAATGAGTGAGTTTTGCTGCAAAAATTGATCACACAAAACGAATTAGTTACAACTTATGCTTTTGATAATTCTTAAAGGATTTTTCGAGATAATGTCAAACAACAATTGAATTGGCAATTTCACACATTAAAAAAAATTTTCGAAATTTTTTTAATGCAATTGTTGCATGGAAATTATGCCATTTGGGAGTTTCTCATTTTTATGCCATTTGGGAATTATGCCATTGTGTTCATTTTTTTGAAAACGCTTATTTCGATCAATAACCAGCTATAATGTACAGCTAATGCTAAGGATTTTAACACAGACTATTATTGTACCGACTTTCGTAACGAAAGTAACGGAATATTTGTTCTCGGGTGGTTTTTTTCTTCAGATAAATTTCGACGTTTTAACTAGCCATTTTTGACGGGATCAAATATCATTCAAAGAGTATTGTTGTCCTGAGCTTAGATTTGAAAATTTTTTTACCTGTGATCGATTTTCCTAATGTTATGGGGGTTTATAAAAGCCATTTTAGCCAATTGGGACAAATAACGCGCCACATATTTCGCGCTATTAACGCGTAAGCGGAGATTTAATCCGTCATAGAAATTGTTCTAAATTGGTTGAAGGAAGCTTATTTGCAATAATTGATTTGTTACTAGGAGCGAAATGTATCACATTGTACTTAATATGGCGTGTGTGGGGATGATTTTTACCAAAAATCTCAAACTAAAAAAAATTTCATTTTATTTTTAGTACAATTAATTTTTTCATGTTATTACTGCTCCTTAGACTGCTCTTTAACTTAAGTTTTGTTAGTTGGTTTTTGTCTTTAATTGACTGGTGTTGCTAATGCGTCATAATTGGCGTGCGTCACTTAAGAAAATTTGTAGACCCAAAGTTTTACTCATTCAGTTTTTCCCAGTAGCGTTATCGGTCACATTTTTGCTTTTGGATGCGAAGTGCAACTTCGCTTCTGTGTTAAAAGACTTAATTGATAAAAAATTACAAAAAAATTGCAAACAGTTTAATTTTTTTGTTATTCATTTTTGAAGTCAAATGATTGAAAAGTTTTTAAAAAAAGTTTTTTTTTTACTTGTCAATTTAATCCTGTTCATTTCTTTTCTTCTTGCACAGCAACCGGCGGTCCTTGTTTCTGTTTTTCTTGAGTTCATTGACACTTTTCCAACCGTTTGTTGTCTTTTTTTTCCACATGTTTTGCCAAGAGAGCTGCAATTTGGAAAGCAGAACAGTTACTTTAAGTTCGAATGCCTAATAATGTTTTAATAATGAACAGAGTCCAAGTGTTGTTTTGGCAACAGGCGAGACGGACTGGAAGGTGATTGCAATCAACACGGCAGATCCGAAGATCAGTGAGTACACAAACATACAGGATGTAGAAAGGATGAAGCCAGGACTGCTCAAGAGAACTGTCGAATGGTTCAAGTACTACAAGGTACATTAAAAAAAATAGCTGGAAGACAATTGTCAGAACATTGAAAATGGGGAGGAACTTTTGTGTTCTGGTATGTTTCAGTTTTTTTAAATCATGTACCACAACTGATTTTCAAAAAATCCGCCCCCTAAATCAGCCCTGGGTCGAGTGATGTGTTAGATTGAAGCTCTTTCAGTCGTGATTCGAACGACATTAAAAGTTAATTCAGTGTCGAGAAAAGCTGCTTCAAGTTTTTGAGTTTTAGTTCAATTTCGAGTTAAGGTATCGAGTAACGTTCAAAATATGAAAGTTTTTTTTAGGCTAAGAAAACTTGATTTTAGTGAAAAGAAAACTAGTTTTGGGAGTTTCATTTAGCGCTTCCTTGGCAATAAAGGTTTTTCGGAAGAAAATTTATTATATTGTGCAACATTTTTTTTCTTCATTTTTTGCTTGTTATTCATTTTATAAAGATAAACGTCTGTGATTATGCCATATTCACAAAAATCTAGTTTTTATGAATGTGCGCGGCACATTCTGTGCTACGTGCACAGCAACCGCCTATCCTTGTTTCATTTTGAATAGTGTTGAAATAAAGTTTTATTCGAATTGCATTCTTTTCCATATCACGCAATTAGCCATAATTACACTCAAAATAACGATGAAAACAAAAAAAATTGAAAGGGGGGATCCGATCAAAGCTACTATCAGGTCAAACTTCCATCAAAACTAACATTAAAAACAGTTGACAATGCGAATTTTGAGGCACCCAGCAACATTGTTGAAATCGCAAGTGAAATATTAAGGTATTCTTTGAGCAAAGTGTTTGTTTCTAAGAATTAGTTTTCTTGAGGTTTTCAAAGTCCGTTTTACATATTTAGGTGCTAGCAGATGATTAAATTGCATTTAGGTTCCAGATGGTAAGCCAGTGAATCAGTTCGCATTTAATGAAGAATTCAAAGACCAGCAGTTTGCAGCAGAGATAGTGAAACACACACACGCTTCGTGGAAGAGTCTAATAGCAAAAGAAGTGGACAACGCTGGAATCTCATTGGCCAATACTACTATCCAATTGTCATCCGAGAAGATACCGCAAGAGGGCGCCAAAGAGCTTGTCAGCCAACAGGCGCCAAAGAGTGAAGCGAGTCCTTTGCCGGCTACTATAAATGACTTGTTTTATGTCCCCACGGGAATCTGACTCGTCAATTATTCTCACTTGTAGCTCAAAATTCATCTCATCTGGAAAAGAACTGAAACTCTTGGAAATGTCTGAAATTGGTGTCTATTTTTTTCTGGTGTAATGGATGATGATAGATTGTAATGTTTATTGGAAACTATTGTACATTTTTGGTTCCGTCAGTATAAAAAAGCATGAATGTCTGTGTTCTCAGCAAGAAGGAAGATGAAAGTCGAGATAAGGACTGGAATTGCAGGTGTTTTTCTGACTAAGAGGTTTCCATTCACACGTGATGTGAAAGTTCATTGTAGTTTGTTTCCAGAGGCTGTCAGATGGGTAAAGTAAGCAATAATTTTAAGTTTACACAACGAATATATTAAGAAATAGCCAGAGAGTTGGAATAGACTATCGTTTTCTTTTAGTCAGGGCTTCATCGATTAGCGATCTTAAGGCCGACGAACTTCCTGTTTGAGTAAAACAGTTATTATGAAACTGTATCGGGTTGGGTTTTTTATTTAATTATTTTTTGATACGCTTTGGAAATTTTTTCAAAAACTTAGTTTTTCTGAAAAAAGAGTCTATCGATTTTCAAAAAAGTGGTACCAATGGAAAAAACGCCCACTCCCCTTTGTGCCTGCATAATCCCCTGTCTCTTTTTTTTACCTTACCCCACTTTCTACAGCCTTGGAAAAAGTGTGTGGAGGGAATTTTTGACCCAAATTTTCGGGTTCTATACAATTTCTCGAAAACTACCCACCCAAATCTGAGATTTTGGCTTCAACGGATAGAACAGATTGTGGGAAGCTCCCCTGCATAAGCGGTGACGCCAAATTGTTTTTCACAAACAGTTATGGACCTCGGAAAAGTCGACGTTTTGATTTTTTGACCTTTTTGAAACTTAAAGACTTTTCTCAAAAGTAGCCTCCCAAATCTGACGTTTTGGTTTCAATGACTAGAATGAATTGTGGGAATCTCCGCTGCTTTAACGATTACGCTTAAATTTTTTACACAAAATTTATGACACTCCGAAAAGTCGATTTTTTAACCGTTTTTTCAAATTGTTTGACTTCTCAAAAACTACCCGCGATTCTGGGATTTTGGTTGCAGTGTGAAGAACGGGTTGTGGCAAGCTCCACCGTATAAGCGGTTACGCATTAACTTTTTGACTGAAAAAATTATGAACCTTGGAAAAGTCAAATTTTTTAACCGTTTTTTAAAACTGTCGAAAACTACCCACCCAAAACTAAGCACATTTCAAGCTAACAAGCTCTTGTAATCACTTCAATTTTTAAGAAAAATGGTAATTGATGAAATTGAGAAGATTTTGAAGTCATTAAATTGGGATTTACTTTTCTTTGCTATAGGTATGTTTTTGTAATTACCTTTGTCCTTCCGCATCAAAACAAAATTCTCAAAAATTATTAAACAGGTACTTCTAGCTTTCGCTGGCCTCTAGTTGTTTCTCCGAGAATACCAGAAGACTATGAAAATCCTAATTTGGAAAAGTTATATAAACAGGCAAGGTTTGAAGAAAGGTCAAAATAATAATTTCGGGCTTTTTTTAGAAGCTAATAAGAAAAAAACCCTCTCCCTCAAAACGTGCATGTGGGCACAGAAATCCAATGCTTTCACGATTGTCTACAGTAATGGATTGGATGAGGGAGATTTACTACCGCAACTTCTACTACTAATGCGCTTATTGTCCGTTTTCCCATTGTGGCGGGGTTGGACTTTCGGAAAGAGCGTAAACATTGGTTCAGATGAGGGCATTCTGAATAGCATTCAAGCTTTCTAATGGAAGATAACACGTTTTTCCATGCCATTCGATCAAAGCAGTCTGGGCTTGTGGCCTAAAGTATTCCGGTCTCGTTTAGCATAATCGATCCTGCGTTTTTTAGGCCTTCCTGCTGGTTTTGTCCCTGGGACTGAAACATGGTATCTTGACTTAAGCGTATAGTCATTTTCTCTTCGTTGAACATCGCCCAGCCATCGTAGCCGCAAATGCACTTGTAGCTTGTCCAGATCAACATGACTTGTCATTTTATTTACTGCGTCGTTGGTGACTCTTGTCTTTATGAGTGACTGCTGTAATCCTAAGCAGAGCTTTCATACCAGCCTCTTAAGATAGCTGGATATCGACTCGGTCTGCGCTCAGGTTACTGAGAATTACATCAGAACCGGCCGGAGAAAAGTTCCGTAGATATAATACCTTGTAATCAAGTTAAAATCTTTATTCAGCAGCAGATGCGCAATTTGCCGTCATTTTGTCCAGAAAGCTGCTATTCTGACTGATGATGCACGTTTTGCGTCCTTTTCACAAAAAGTCATATAACCCAGACAGCAGAGCTTTCAATTTGATTGATCCGTAAAGCAGCATTCTAATTTGGGCGATAGTTGGAAAAGTTATTGCATCTTGAACAAACATAATTAGTATTATCTTTCGGTGTTTTCCTCTGACCACTGAATTTTTATGCAACCATTGATTACAAGAACTCGCGCCGACTCCCTTTAAACAACGAGCGCATGGATAAATTGAAGTTTTTTGAGGAATACACTTTTGGCCTGAAATCAAATGCTTTGTTTTATGCACGTTAATTTTTAAACCGCGTTTTGAAAAAGTTTTGAAAAAGCCTTGTTCCAAGTATACAATTTCTGTAAAGAGTAGGATTCCGTTTCAGCGAAAACCACAAATTCGTTTGCATATAGCATATCCAATGGTACCATAGAACGACCGTTTCTTGTTGCCTCTTCCATCATTATTATAAGCAGCTATGGGCTAAGTGCCGATCCCTGATGCAGGCCTACTTTAATTTCATAGTAATCACCGCGTTCTTGGGGCCGGCTTACTCTGGTTTTCGACTCGATGCACAGACACATTATTAGTCGTACCAAGTTTTTGGGAATTTTCTGTTGCCTCAGAGCCCATAGGATTAGATCTCCGAGAACAGGGTCGAAGAAATGGCATCGGTAGTTGATGTACCACTCATAAAGCCAAATTGCATCCCATCTATGTTTATAAATTGTCTCAGACGCTTTTCTTGCACTTTTTTGAAATATTTCAATGCGTGTTCCAGTAATTAGATGCTTCTGAAGGATTTACTTTCGCTTTAGCCGAGAGCCGAGTCCCAGACTGCCTTAAGGACTTCAAAAATTCCAGAAAGTCAACAATCTCCGGTAAATTTAATCATGCGCGAAGTTAGTTCTGTTGGCCCTGGACTTTTCCCATTTTCCATTATTGAATTTTGCCCAAAACCATAGTTGTTTCTCTACCAACGTATAAAGTAAAAGAAGGGTGAAAATTTGTGAGAAATTGAAACCGCCTCAAAAACAACATTTTTCTTACAAAAAACAAGGAGACGCCGTTTCTACATGAGTCAAACTTGCAACCGGCTCATTTGATTGCATCCTTCATCTCAGATTTGACAGGGTACTTAAATAGAAAAGTCAAAAATTTCTAAAAAACGGCCAACATTTCAAAAATTGACTTTCAGAAAACAAAATCTTCTTGCTGCAAGAAGGCCGTAGACGCATTAACAGAGAAAATTTCCAATACCGAGTTTCTCAATTGATCAAATCAACTCAAGAATTGACAGCGTAGGTTTTGAGAAAGTCAGAAAAACGGTCAAAAATTTAACTGTTCCGAGGGCCATAACTTTTTGTATAACAAAGTTTGGTCGTGGTTAAATATGCAAGGGATTTTCCCAAAAACCCGCAAACCTTCTTTGGATTGAAACCAAAATTTCAGATTTGCGCTGGTAGTTTTTGAGAAAAGGCTAAAACTAAAAACGGTCAAAAAATCAAGTTTTTCTGTTCCGAGGGCCCTAATTTTCTGATTAATAAAAATAAGGCTTACTTGATCATGCAGGCGCACTTCCCACAACCAGTTGTTTTGATTGAACCTAGAAACTCATTTCATACTAGAACTTTTTATAAAAAAGCAATTTAGAAAAGTTGTCTAAAAATTTATTACATCCTGCAAGTAAACTGACAAAGTTTGGCAGGTAATCCATAAAACTGACAAAAAATCAATTTGATTTTGAAAAATTTCCCGCTAACAAACCCTGCAACCAGTAGTTAAGCATGTCAGCAAGCTTGAGCAGGCCAGCAATTGATTCCACTGGTTTTGCTAGACTAGTTGCTAAACCAAAAAAAGTCTACATTCCGAACTGATAAAGCTTGCTAATCGCAAACGTGATTATACTGTGATTTGTTTTTACTTAAATCACTCAGTTAAATAATTTATTTTTTTTTGTTTTAAACGTTTTCAAAAACTTGATTGTGTTTTTAATAATTCTGTGGTTTGATTGTGTATTTCGTTGTGTGGTTTCTTAATCAATTAACAAAGATATCAATCAATCAAGTAAAAACGCGCACTTCAGAAAACATCAAATTTTGGTTTATTTTTCTATAGTAAAACAATTTATGGACCTTATTAATTAAAAAAGTTTTTTTTTTCATTTTCGTTTTTCTTTAATCAGCGTGGTCGGAGCATTGTGCTTATCTGACATAAATTTAATGTTGAACTTAATTCAAACTCTTATATAGGTGGTGATGTTTTTAACACGAAAAAATGCAGAATTTGCTTCTTTGAGGTTTGACTTTTGATTTTTCTTTCTGTTCTTTTTTTTGTTAAAAGGAAAAAAACGCGACTATAGAACTGCAAAAATGGGTTAATGTTATCCAAAGTATCGATCAAAAATTTTTCGGGGAATTCAAAAAGCTTGAAAGGGCAATTATTTTTGGAGCTCGAAAATTGAAGTTTCATCAAAAAACTTGTCAGTATTTTTTGTTTCCTTGCTTTCATTCTTTTTGTTTCAACTGTCTGCAGGCTATGTTTATGTTTTAACTTCTTTTGCCATTGAAAATCTAGCAAATTAAAAACAAGTATGGTGCGTTCTTGCCGCTTATACCGCAACGAACCCCTGTCCTCTTATTACACTGCCAGTTCATATCCCAGTTTAATAATTTTTTCATTTCGTATAAGTAAAAAAGCGTTTTTTACCCTTGCAATTAGTCAGGGTGCTGCAACCGTTACTAGACTTATTTCTTGTAAAGAACTTTGTCACAAGTCCTCGTCCAGCGCATCTGGTTTGGAGGTAAGATACCTGTTTGAGAAGACAAAGGCTTGTTAATGGAATCAAGCCAGGACCTGTTGTTTTTGCAAAGTAGAAGTTTTATATTTTCTGATCTATCGTCCGTTTGTT